GCCCCGGGAGGCCCAGGGCGACGGCAGTGTGTACCCAGTTCTGAGTTGCACCTGCCAGTCTGGCTGCTCAGCCCAGCCTGTGGCTGCCTTGAGGCACTAAGGGACTTCCTTGTTGCTTTCTTCTGTGGCTTACTGGTGTTCTCTGTGGCTTCTGCCTTCCTGGGCTGCCCTGCCCTCCCTGCCCTGCCTTTCCCCACTACTGCTTGTGCCTGCTGCTGGCCTTCAGGTGGGGGTGCTCCTTGGTTACCATGCAACCAGTGACTTTCTCCCTGCTCAGTGACTTTCTCCCTGCAGGCGGAAAGAGGGATTGGGGGAGTTGGGAGTTGTGTGTATGTGGGGGTGCAGATTGAGATGGGAGATGGCCAGCATGGCCTGATAGGGGTGAAGCAGGGGACAGTGACAGGTGCGCCGCCTCCTCCTGGGTCTTCACTGGCAAGATTGCCAAGTGCTCAGAGCTTCCGGAGTGTTTAATTTCAGACAGACTTGGCTTCTTTCTGCAGACTAGGGGCTGAGATAGACGAGGGCCTGTGTGCAGCCGGTGTGGATCCTGCTTCTTGTGGGGACTCTTCCTGTTCCATAGCCATGAATCACAGCTTTTTATGAATTGGTCTATTTAAAATGCTTTCACGCCACTCCTTAAAGAGGAGCCCTGTGTCACATTCGATCATAATGCAACAGTTCTCCACCAATAGGCGGCTTCATCAGTCCCGTAAACTTGAGCTTTTGAGTTTTCAGGAAGGTCACGCCAGCAAATCCTTATTAATGCTTAAGATTTAAGACACGACTAAAGAGTTACTGCTGTTTCCCTAAGTGTCCAAGTATGGGATGGTTTTGTGTACTTCATTTCAAAATTGTGAAATCTTTGGTGTTTGAAGCAGAGGGAGAGGGTTTCTTAGCCCCTTGGGCTTGGCTGAGAAGTCACTTCAAGCACGTCACCTCACGTCAGCTGAGATCCGTTCCGTCGTACTTCCCTTCTGTGATACGGTTTTAATTCTGTTGTTTAAAAGTATCTCAGGCATCAAAGCCTTTGCTAAGATATATATATTCTTAAAAAGGTAAAAGCATAATTGGTAAATAACATTTGGAATGTTTTAGATTTATATTTATTTATATTTATATATTTAACTCCCTAATTAAGGAGGAGACTAGTAAGCTGTTGTAATTATTTCAAAGGAGAATTAAAACAGAATCAGGGATGCGGACATGAATTTGCAAGCATGCAGAATCGGTCAGTATTTACAGGGCGATCACTCACGGAACCCCTCTCCACTGGGGTGCAATTTGTCGTAACTTCCAGGATAAGAGTCATCTGTAGTACTGCCTGGGTTCTAATATGTACAGGGTTGTAAAACGGCTCCAAGACAGTGAGAGCCCAAGGTGACCTGGAAGGGTACTCTAACCAGGACACCCAGCAGGTTTTGATGCTCATTTGAGTCTTTCACCATTTTCCCTGACACTTAAAAAAAAAAAAAAAAATCCTTCTTACAAGTAAGTGCATAAATAAGCTCTCTCAGGGCCGACTGGCTATTGACTGGAGGGGAAGGGAGGGCATCAGCTGCCCCAAGCTAAAGGCATGGTGGTGCCTCCTGCTGGCGTCTGAGGGAGTGACCCCTGAGCTGGGGACCCTCCAGGCTCCTCTCCGGTGCTAGCCTGGCCTCGCCCCTGCCTCTCCAGTTCATCTGGTAACACGAGTGTGAGCTGTCACTAGAAGACGGGAAAGAACTGGCGAGTTGGTTACGTGGCCAAAACCTTCGTTTGTTTCCTTCCTCCTCTCTCCTCAAGGCAGGCCTTGTTCTGCTACTTTCTTTACGTGAGGGACGAAAGGACCATGATCTCCATGTGTCAGGGAATGCGCCTTTCAGCTGCCCCATCGACGGCCCCTGATTGTTGGTTATAAACTCATTTTTATTGAAATGTGCCCACCAGAATTTCCTGCCAGAACGCTGATGGGCGTCCTGGTCACGCATGTCTGTGAACCTCAGAATCTGATCCGAATGACTTTATATTCATGTGTTTAAATGGAAAGTTTGCCCTTCTGGATCCTAGATTCTTTTGTGCCCCCCTGGCTAATGCAGGGTATTTGGGAAAAGGCCAACAAGCTGACGTGGGGATTGACTGGCCCTTCCGATGCGGTCAGGCCTGGTTGTGCTAACTAGGTCTCCCCATTCCTCGATGTCCCTGCTGGTGCTGTTGGCCCATTTGCGTGCCCACCAGCCCCTGCGCCAAGGCAGGAGCCAAGGAGCCCACAGTGGCTACTTCGTGCCAGGAGCCCTGAGCAGAAGGAAGTGGACATCGATTGGAATCAGAGAATGTTTCACTTTTCTCTGATTTTTGCTTTTCCTTGTTTTCCTTCCCAGGCATTGCCATGGGAGGCTTAGCGGTTTCCTCTCACCTGACCAGACTTTTCCGAAACAGCTTAACAGAGAAAAGCGCTCCTCTTCTAGTTGGAATTTAGTCTAGTCTTAGTCTGTCCACTGATTTTCTCAAAGAATTTTTTTTTTTTTTTTTTAAGATTTTATTTATTAGAGAAAGAGAAAGCATGAGCAGGGGGAGGGGCAGAGGGAGAAGCAGGCTCCCCGCTGAGCAGGGAGCCTGATGGCGGGGCTCCATCCCAGGACCCCGGGATCATGACCCCAGCTGAAGACAGACGCTTAACACCTTAACACCCAGGCGCCCCTAATCTCTTCTTTAAAAAGGAACAAAACGTGTCTGTGCCTTTTTTAAACCTATTTTGTAAGTTCCAAGGCCCTAGTGTGGCTGGTGAGTGGTTGGTCAAGAAGAGGTGGTCCCCAGGACCTCCACACTGTACAACTCTTAGGAGCACCATTCGTATCATCCTCTTTGAGAGTGATGCTTTTTGGGGTGGTGCAGTGCACAACTAGGGGGGCTGTACAGGATGGCCCTCGGCCTCCTGAGATCACGTGGGCTCCGAAGGGCCTGGGGAGGGTCCTCTGATGTGTGCCCTCACTGAGGTCACTGGAGGTTTCTTGGTCATGGGGATAACCACTGTGTTCTGGGTCACAGGCCAGGATTTCCACCCTGGGGCTCCTGTTCTCTTCCCCACATTCCTTCATGGTTGCATAGGTTTGAACTGCTGAGGGAGAAGCAAAGTGGGAAACAGACACCAGCAAGAGACAGAGCTGGTGGCGGAGCCTTCCCCAACCATGTCCCGGCATTATTGAGAAACTTAGCCCAGAAGGGGGTGCACTGAATCTGATGGACGGTACAGACCCTTCTTTTGGGCTTGGCTGTGGATCTCCCTCTGGATTTAGCATTTCCCCAAATGGGGCTCGTGTTGCCTGCTCCCCACACCTCATGGGGCTGGCACACTCAGCCAGCTCTGGTTGATGAAGACAAGGAGGGGTACAGACTCTCTCCTGCCTTGTCTGACAACTGGATACTCCAGGAAGCCCGTTTCTTCAGAAGGGAGCTAGCTTCATCTCATCCTCTTCTTCCATAAAAAGCACCGCTTGATGATCTGGTCAGAGACCCAGAGCTCAGGAAGGTCCTGGCTGTCTTGAGGAAGCAGCAGTGGTTTGGGCTGCGTGTGATTCCCTCCGCGCTCCCCGCCCCCCGCCCCCGGGACAGTGGAGGAATACTGCAGTGAGTACCCTTGTTCCTTGTCTAAGGCTGTCGGTGTGTCCCCTTTGTTCCCTTCAGGCTTCTTATGGGGACGTTGGGCAGCCACACCCTAAAGCCATGGCTGACGCCAGCATTCAAGGAAACCGTAAGCAATGCCAGGAGTCCCAGTGTCCTCGGTTAGGCCACATGTAATGCCACAGACAGGACAAAGCGACAGTTCTCTGCTTGGGGCTGGGGTCACAGAGGGCCTTAGAAGCCGCAGTACGTGAGGCAGAGTGGCCAAGCAGGCTGAGCCTGCACTTGAGTGGGGTCCTGGGGGTCCCTGCTGCTCACTGCTTGGGGGCTTGGGCAGCAGAGGCCCCTCCAGCCTCGGCCATTTTGGCCTTGAAGCAGCCTTTGTGGGAAGGTGATCGCTTTTCATCAGATGGGAGAGGAGACGTGACGTCTGAGGGGAGAGGAATCGGCTCTTCTGATACCTGCCGAAGGAGAGCAGAGGGAGAAGGAGCTGGGACTTGGAAATGGAGAGGCGTGACCTGTTCACGAACAGGCAGCAGGCGGCCTCTGGAGAGGAAAGGGCACGGAGCCAGCCTCTCGTCCTGGGTGCGGGGATCCAAGGCCTGCCGAGGCCAGCTTCCCTGACGCCGCTGGCTATGCGCCTCCCGCCTCCCGCACGGCGGTGCGAAACCACCTCCGGGGGCCCCCTCGCCCAGGGGTGCAGCAGGATCCGAAAACAGCCTGAGCCAGTGACTGAGGTTCTGAGGAGACCACGAAACCGCCTTCCCTGGGGACAGGAGGGCCCCGATCTCGGCTCTGGGACGTCGAGGATGGTGGGGCAAGCGGGGAATGCCTCGGGGTTTGCAGAGGAGTTGGCAGAGCCGGAAGCCAAGGCTGCGAGGAGCCCTGCCGGGTGGGTGTCTTCTGGCCACTGCCGGCGATTCTGCTGGCCTGGGGCCCGGCCAGGAGGTTGTGCCAGCCCAGCCGGCGTACCCCTTCAGTGCCCGCGGGTCTCCAGGCAGGCCGGCCCCGCTGTTGGAGCATCTGCGGTGTGCGGCTGAGAGCAGGGTCCCCTGGGCTTTCAGGAGGCGGCCGGGCTGGCGCTCCCAGACCCACATTTCTCTCTGTCCTGCTGACCCAGGAGGAGGGGCAGAGACCTGTGTCTTTCCCCGGATCCTGAGCACAGGCCGCTGCTGGCCTGCATGTGCCGCCTCCAGGGCCCGCTGCCCGCTTGCCGGCCCGGGCTCGTTGCCGCGGCTCTCCTGCAGCCGACCCCTCCGGTGCTGCTTCTGGCCGCTCAGGTCAGGCAGGCCTCAAACCTTGCCATCGGGCCCTGGCCGGCAGGTCAGCTCCAGGACGGGCCCTCTCTGGGGAGAGGGTTCTCGGCCATCCTGACAGAGTGCCGGACTCTGTTCCTGCTGGACGTGGTCATCTCCTTTGGGAGCCTTCCAGCTCCAGGGGGGGGAGGCGGGAAGCTGAGTCCTGCATGCTCATCCCACCGGGGGTGGCAGATGGGGCTCTGGGACGCGCGGATGCAGGGAAGGGCTGCAGCCTCTGCTGATAAAGCCCCCTTCAGCCAGCCGTGCTTCCTCCCTTCATGTCCGTTACCCTGGCTGCCCACCCTGAAGAGCCCGCCCACGAGCCACCTCTGCTGTCAAGCCCTCCTGACAGCCCCGACCCCATGCCGCCTTGAGTGGCGGCCACGGCTGCTGGCTCTCTCTGTGCCCGGGGGCGTCACCGGGGTGCCCTGTGCACACTGCAGGTGCTCACCGTGGATGACGATGATGGGGACAAAGAAAAGCCCGTTGCAGAGATTGGAGTCTGGACCAGATAGCGATCAAGCCAGGCCTGGAGGAGGGCAAGGGTAGCCCCGGGAGGCCCAGGGCGACGGCAGTGTGTACCCAGTTCTGAGTTGCACCTGCCAGTCTGGCTGCTCAGCCCAGCCTGTGGCTGCCTTGAGGCACTAAGGGACTTCCTTGTTGCTTTCTTCTGTGGCTTACTGGTGTTCTCTGTGGCTTCTGCCTTCCTGGGCTGCCCTGCCCTCCCTGCCCTGCCTTTCCCCACTACTGCTTGTGCCTGCTGCTGGCCTTCAGGTGGGGGTGCTCCTTGGTTACCATGCAACCAGTGACTTTCTCCCTGCTCAGTGACTTTCTCCCTGCAGGCGGAAAGAGGGATTGGGGGAGTTGGGAGTTGTGTGTATGTGGGGGTGCAGATTGAGATGGGAGATGGCCAGCATGGCCTGATAGGGGTGAAGCAGGGGACAGTGACAGGTGCGCCGCCTCCTCCTGGGTCTTCACTGGCAAGATTGCCAAGTGCTCAGAGCTTCCGGAGTGTTTAATTTCAGACAGACTTGGCTTCTTTCTGCAGACTAGGGGCTGAGATAGACGAGGGCCTGTGTGCAGCCGGTGTGGATCCTGCTTCTTGTGGGGACTCTTCCTGTTCCATAGCCATGAATCACAGCTTTTTATGAATTGGTCTATTTAAAATGCTTTCACGCCACTCCTTAAAGAGGAGCCCTGTGTCACATTCGATCATAATGCAACAGTTCTCCACCAATAGGCGGCTTCATCAGTCCCGTAAACTTGAGCTTTTGAGTTTTCAGGAAGGTCACGCCAGCAAATCCTTATTAATGCTTAAGATTTAAGACACGACTAAAGAGTTACTGCTGTTTCCCTAAGTGTCCAAGTATGGGATGGTTTTGTGTACTTCATTTCAAAATTGTGAAATCTTTGGTGTTTGAAGCAGAGGGAGAGGGTTTCTTAGCCCCTTGGGCTTGGCTGAGAAGTCACTTCAAGCACGTCACCTCACGTCAGCTGAGATCCGTTCCGTCGTACTTCCCTTCTGTGATACGGTTTTAATTCTGTTGTTTAAAAGTATCTCAGGCATCAAAGCCTTTGCTAAGATATATATATTCTTAAAAAGGTAAAAGCATAATTGGTAAATAACATTTGGAATGTTTTAGATTTATATTTATTTATATTTATATATTTAACTCCCTAATTAAGGAGGAGACTAGTAAGCTGTTGTAATTATTTCAAAGGAGAATTAAAACAGAATCAGGGATGCGGACATGAATTTGCAAGCATGCAGAATCGGTCAGTATTTACAGGGCGATCACTCACGGAACCCCTCTCCACTGGGGTGCAATTTGTCGTAACTTCCAGGATAAGAGTCATCTGTAGTACTGCCTGGGTTCTAATATGTACAGGGTTGTAAAACGGCTCCAAGACAGTGAGAGCCCAAGGTGACCTGGAAGGGTACTCTAACCAGGACACCCAGCAGGTTTTGATGCTCATTTGAGTCTTTCACCATTTTCCCTGACACTTAAAAAAAAAAAAAAAAATCCTTCTTACAAGTAAGTGCATAAATAAGCTCTCTCAGGGCCGACTGGCTATTGACTGGAGGGGAAGGGAGGGCATCAGCTGCCCCAAGCTAAAGGCATGGTGGTGCCTCCTGCTGGCGTCTGAGGGAGTGACCCCTGAGCTGGGGACCCTCCAGGCTCCTCTCCGGTGCTAGCCTGGCCTCGCCCCTGCCTCTCCAGTTCATCTGGTAACACGAGTGTGAGCTGTCACTAGAAGACGGGAAAGAACTGGCGAGTTGGTTACGTGGCCAAAACCTTCGTTTGTTTCCTTCCTCCTCTCTCCTCAAGGCAGGCCTTGTTCTGCTACTTTCTTTACGTGAGGGACGAAAGGACCATGATCTCCATGTGTCAGGGAATGCGCCTTTCAGCTGCCCCATCGACGGCCCCTGATTGTTGGTTATAAACTCATTTTTATTGAAATGTGCCCACCAGAATTTCCTGCCAGAACGCTGATGGGCGTCCTGGTCACGCATGTCTGTGAACCTCAGAATCTGATCCGAATGACTTTATATTCATGTGTTTAAATGGAAAGTTTGCCCTTCTGGATCCTAGATTCTTTTGTGCCCCCCTGGCTAATGCAGGGTATTTGGGAAAAGGCCAACAAGCTGACGTGGGGATTGACTGGCCCTTCCGATGCGGTCAGGCCTGGTTGTGCTAACTAGGTCTCCCCATTCCTCGATGTCCCTGCTGGTGCTGTTGGCCCATTTGCGTGCCCACCAGCCCCTGCGCCAAGGCAGGAGCCAAGGAGCCCACAGTGGCTACTTCGTGCCAGGAGCCCTGAGCAGAAGGAAGTGGACATCGATTGGAATCAGAGAATGTTTCACTTTTCTCTGATTTTTGCTTTTCCTTGTTTTCCTTCCCAGGCATTGCCATGGGAGGCTTAGCGGTTTCCTCTCACCTGACCAGACTTTTCCGAAACAGCTTAACAGAGAAAAGCGCTCCTTTTCTAGTTGGAATTTAGTCTAGTCTTAGTCTGTCCACTGATTTTCTCAAAGAATTTTTTTTTTTTTTTTTAAGATCTTATTTATTTGTTTGACAG